GTGGACTGGCGAGTGGCAATGACTGACTGCTATCGGGAAGCAGGGATTCAAGCAAAATGACAGGGGCCTGGCCATGGGTGGTGGCAGTGACAGTGGAAGCAGCTGAGGAATTCTTGATGCATCCCTGAGGAAAAAGGTCCAAGACTCACTGGGAGATGGGTAGGGGGTAGAAGGGGAGTGAAGAGTGAGAAGAGAGGCGGGCAACAAGGAAGATCCTGGGTCTCTGTCTGGATGGCAGTGCCCTGGGGAGGCTGGGAAAGTCCAGTGTCCGGGAGGTGGGGGAGGGAAAGCATGAGTCAGATGTGAGAAAGTAACTCTGGCTCACTCTGAGAAAGTGAAAATCTGTCCTGCAATCTGCTGGGCTTGGAGAACAGACACAGAAAGCTGGCTGCCAAGTTAGCAGGAAACAATATTTCTACCAAGGACACACTGCAAGAGGAAACTGTCATGATGACCCCTCCTTCAGTGGCGGCTGGTTTGTTTTATCCTGTAAAACCCCAGACTACCAGAACTTCTGCTGTTTGGACTTATACTGGTGAGGAGGAAGAAACACATGCACTCGCAGTTGCTGTGACAGGGAGCCCAGCCTGAACAGCCAGCTGGCCGCAGGGCTTCAAATTAAAGGTTCCTAGACCTCATGTTCTTCTATCTATATTTTGTAGTTTCCAAGGAAACAGGGCCTGGGGCCACTGTGGTGAGACCCAGTGGGGACCCCTTCACACACAGCCCAACTCCACATGGAGCCCATGAGAACACAGCCTCGCCTGCAGGCCATCTACACGCCACCCCATCCCAAATCCTAGAGCAACACTTGTCTCTTCCTCTGGTGGCAGGATGCTCACAGTTCCTCTGCTGCAGTGAGTGGTCCCCCTCACTGCAACCAGCCAGTAACCTGACCTCATCCGAACACAGGTCCTTCCTGAGGGCTGCAGGCCGATCACACTAAGACAAACACTTAGAATCTGAAGTGAATGTGAAACAAGTAAGAACAAATGCCAAGTAGGAGTTAGAAACAGGACCCCAACCCTGCAGAAGAGGGGAAGCTAGAGGAGCCTAGGAGCCACTGGCATCAACATGGCAACTGAAGCTACCAGTGCGCAGACTGCCCTCGGAGAGGCCACGGGGTGAGGGCAGAAGAGCCTGAGCTCCTCCATTAGCTGGACGGCTGCTGCAGAGAAGGACAAACCCGCAAAGCAGACTGAGAAGATCGATGGGAAAGGAGGTGATGACACGGCTGGGAAGGCCAAGGGCTGTGAGGCAAGATCTCCCAAAGTCTGCCTGTGATCACGTCACCATGGGTGTAGTTACAGACCTCGCTTTCGTAACCACTAGTTTGATTTTGACAGAGGATTAATCTCCAAAAATTGACTTTTGCTAAAACAGCTCATGAGAAGTCCCTGATGTGTTTTGCAGAATGCCAGTGTGTTAATCTGCAGTGAGAAGTATACCTACCCAGCAGGCTAACATCCTCAGCTGCTCGTCAGCACTCTCCTTCCCTAAAGACACAAGCACACAAGATGACTGACTGCTCTTCTGAGGCTGCTGAATGCATGGGAGGTCGACAGTGACCTGGAGCTATGGTAACCAGTGATGGGGGGCATACCTGGCAACGTCCTGGGGGAAACAAAGAAGCCCTGCTGTGGACTTTATGGAAAGGACTACTTACAAAGGGAAGAGCAGGGGCCAGAGACCCGACAAGGATGGTAAGGCACCTGGGACTGGGACCAGCCCTCCAGCTGAAAGGAGGAGAGGGGACAGTGTTCCTACAGCCCGGTGAGAGCTGGGAATGTGGAGGAGGCCCCTGGGCACGGGTCACAGATGTGGAGGGAGCAGGAGGAAACACCACCAACTCCTGCCCATGGCTTCCTTCTCTCGGTGAGTCCTCACTGGCAACCAGTAAGGAAGCAAGAGGCATGCAGTCTGCAGGAGCCCACCTTGCAGAGCACACCCCAGGCCAGGGAGGGTGCATCTGAGGACTCCTAAGGGAGAATAAACAGGCAGGGTGCCATGGGAACACAGCACTCTCGCTTCTAACTAGACGCCAGCCCCTTGACCAGACGCTCCTCCACAAACCAGAGACATGTACTGTTGACTCCAGACAGCTTCTTGTCTGGACTAGGGCTAATGATATGACCTGGCCCCCTAGACACACCTCTTCTAGAAGCTAGGCAGTGATGTAACAGTAAGCCAGCCTTAACCACTGATGGCTGATTTAACAGTAACTCAGCCTCCGTCAGGCAAGTAACCAAATCAATCCAATAAACAGCCCCAAGAACTCCAATAGAGGCTTCTAGACCAATACCTGATGCAATGGCTGAGCTCAAATCTCAGAACCTGAACTGACAAGTTCTAGCAACTTAAATCAGTGCTAGAACTGAGCAGTTCCTCCACCGAGAGACCATATCTCTACAGACATGCCTGAATCCATGCAAGGTTGCTAAATGGCAAGATCCTTTTACAAGAAAGGATCCTTTGCATAAGAGGATCTTGTATAAGATTGTATGTATTTACACAAGAAAGGACTTAATGTTTAGAACAGAGCTTTTAAATAATAAAAGTATAAAACCCTTCTGCCAAAGACAAAAGGTGAAGAGCTAGGAACAGATACTCAGAAAGTTGGCAACCCTTCCTCCAACATGAACCTACACAAGGCCAAGTTACTCATTTGTGGGCCCCTCCCCTTCTTATGTCTTATCTGACTCTCCCAAAGGTAATTACAAAGACTGTAACAGTATCTTAAAGTTTATTTACAATCACTTCCCAATTATTTACATAAGGTAAACCTGCTGAAACACACTGCTGTCACCATCAATGACTGCTGAAGATGAAGTATGACTCACTTTTTTCTACAATCTTTAATTTCTGGAAGGTTTCCAGTACTTCCCCATTTAGTATTCTGGGTAAGAAGTCCCGTATTTGCATCACTTCAGTTGTCAGTCGTTCCAGGTCCTTCTTTCTGACTTTAACAAATTCTTCTTTAGTTCCCATGTGCTAGGAAAACAAGCAGATCTCAAGATTACAGTTCTCCTCAGATAACTAAAACCAGCAGCCCAACTCAGCTTGCTTCCTTTTCTTTGAGGCCTCCTGTGCTCAAAATAGTCTCAAACCACGTCTTTACCTAATGTACTGTTTTCTATGTATATTACACCCAGAGAGCTCAAGCCCCAGCCTTCACACTGTGAGCCAGTTTTTTTTTAAAATGCAAACAAGGAGCTATTCCAGAAGCCCAAAGAAAACGCCAGCAACTTTTTCTTAATGCTCTGGCATCAAGCTATCAGGCGGAAAAGGCATCAGAGTGGATGCATACTGGGTGCGCCAGGCCCTTTGCGGGCCGTCCTGCTTCATTCAGATCACAACCCTGGGAAACGGGAAACAGGGAAGCCAGGTGACTCTCAGGAACGCCAGGACCGGGGACACAACCAGGATCTGAAATCGGCAGCCGGGCACCCCTGAGGCTGACAAGTCTAACACGGCTAGGGCCTCGTGGGCGGCCAGGCCCGGCCTGGCCCGGGGTCACAGGAGCACGCCCACCGCCCGCTGCGCGGCCCCCTGGACCCGCACCCCAGAGGATTTGGGAGAATTTTCCAAGGCAGAGATTGCTGCCTCCCATCCCCTACCCAGGGCATGCTGTCTGCGGACGACACCCGGGGCCCTTCCGAGCACACTGGACGGCACCCAGGAGCGGTGTGGGAAAGCAGAGGGCGACAGCTAGGGCCCACAGGCCGAGACCTGGATGCCCGCACTAACCCGACAAGCCTCCTCAGCGCTGCCAGCCTCGCTCATGACTACCGCGGCCTCAGCTCCTGCGCCTGCGCGGCGGCGCGCCCTCTGACCCTCACGCCAGAAAGCGCGGGAACGCGTCCACGCCGAGAGTTAGGTACGGAGAGCCGCGAGGCTCAGGCCCCGCAGTTTTCGAAGCATTCTCGGCTGAAAGACCCAGTGTGGGTCGGCGGCATCCCGCGTTGGCTCTTCTGGCTTAACCAAACTCGTAAACTTTGTTAACTGCAAAGTACAAGGACAGTGAGACCCTAGCGTAAGTGTCCGGTGAAATAAATCGAATAGGGCCTTTCCCGTTTGGCGAGGGATGTCAGACCAAGGGGTGACAGGTTCAAAGGAACCAGCAGCTGACCGCCTGGCTCCCGCACTCAGCTCCCAGCTCCATGAGCAAAGGCCAAAGCTTTCTGACAACAGACTGCTCGGGAGGTCTGCCCTCGATAGGGAGACTTAGTCCAGTCCGCTGGTACCTAACTGAAACGGCTACTGTAAGCTGGGACACATCGCCCAGTCCATTCAGCTGCCCCTACACGTCCACTGAGTTCGCACAGTGTCCGTGCGTTCAAAGGTACCAGTTACTGTACCACTAGGACTTGGTCTGTCTGAAGCTGGCCGCGAGCTGACACGGCCAAGTGCCCAGAGTGGGTGCCCTCCAGGCCCGCGGGCGGACCTCAAGCTCACGCTCCCAATCCTCGCGGCCGGGACCCGGGCACTGGGGGTCGCCGGTCGCTGAGACCAGAGCGCCCTCGAGGGGGCTGCCCACAACATCCCGCCAAAATTCCCAAGGGCAGCCTCTCTCCCCCACCTCCACCCCGCCCTGGCGGCCCAGGAGTCCAAAGCGATTCGAGACTCGGTGCCGCCTCTCCCCGGGGAACAGCTGCCAGTTGGACGGGGATTTAGTGGAGTGGGCGCAAAGATTCTAGACCACGTAAAACTGGCTATTGGACTCTTCCTGGCCAACACGCAACGCCGGCTAACCTCGCCGTCAACGGCGACGAGCTTTGGCTACCGAGAGACCGCAGAGGCGGAGAAGCGCGCCGCTAACCAGGGATGCGCCGCTCAGCCGGCTGCCTGGGCAGCCGCGCTAGCTCCCAGAACGCGCTGCGAGCGGCGGCCGGCGCCTTTGTGATGCCATCAGCCCGCGCGCCGCTGCACGCGCCACCGCCTTCTGCGCAGTCGCGGCCGGGGCGGCTAGGCGGCGGGCGGTCGGTGGCGGCGGGCTGAGGCGGGGGCTGCTCCAACGGACGCGATGGCCCCCGCCATGCAGCCGGCCGAGATTCAGTTCGCTCAGCGGCTGGCGTCCCACGAGAAGGGCATCCGGGACCGGGCGATGAGGAAGCTGCGCCAGTACATCAGCGTGAAGACGCAGAGGGAGACAGGTGGGCGCCGGCGATCCGCCGCGCACATGGCGGCCGGGCGTGGGAGCCTGAGGTGGGCCGGGCTGGGGGGTGCGGGAAGGGGGCCCGGTCGGGAGCTGCCTCACAGGGGACGGCCCGGGGGAGCCGCGGGCGGAGCGGTGAGAGCGTGTGGCACTGAGTCTCACTCCCGCATGTGCTTTTTGTGTCCGCTTTCTGCTGGATCTCGTCCGGTTCTAAGGTTGAGGGGCTGCGGCCGGCAAGGTCGGGTGGTCTGCTGAAAGTCACAGTGGGTGGTGAAGCTTAAGATAGACCCGTTCTGTCCAACCCCGAGCCTGGACGCTGGATCACTGGGCTCACCTGATAGATTCTGGTGCGCTCTTCTTTGAGTTACGCCTTCACTTGACCAACACGTTTAGGAGCTGGGATTGCAAAAGAGAAAACAGAATCCCTACCCTGGAGGGAGTTGTCCCGGGAAGTCTAGGGAGGAATTTATAACTGAAACAGAGCTCCTTTAAGCAAAGTAAAGGAAACGAAAACCAAGGAAAGAAAGCCATCCTCTACATGGGCCGTTGACGTTCAGCAGGTGGGAGAGGAGACGGGCTAGCAGTGCTGAAGGTTAGTAAGTGAGGGAGGGCGAGGGAAGATGAAGTTGAACGAGTAGGCAATGGCCAGGTCACACCGGGCTATGTGATTTGGGTTTAAACAGCAGTGGGTGCCATTAAAGGATTTCATTAGCTGACCTGTAAACTCCTGAAAGAATGAGCTACAGTGTGCGGTGGAGGTTTTTATGGTACTAAGATAGTCTAGGCTTCCCTGGTGGCTCAGACTGTAAAGAATCCGCCTGCAATGTGGGGGACCTGGGTTCGATCCCTGGGTCGGGAAGACCCTCCTGGAGAAGGGCATTGCAACCCACTGAGTATGCTTGCCTGGAGAATCCCATGGACAGAGGAGCCTGGCGGGCTACAGCCCATGGAATCCCAAGAGTCTCAGAGACGACTGAGCACACGAGATAAGTCTGATTTCTTTATTGCTAGTTCTGGTACATAGAGCCTCTTTCAAAGAATTGATGTTATCTCTCCTTGTGCTGACCTTCTTAGTTAATGTTTTATTTTAAGGAGAAACCACAAAAGACTACCCAGGGGAAAGAAAGTATCATTTCATGGGAAGTCTGCTAGAAAGAGGAATGAAGCCAAACCTCCTGACTCTAACTCTCTTTGGGGTCTCCCCAGCAGATTTAATTTACTCATCCCATGTATGCTGGAGGTTTCTAACCCTGGTCTTCTAACCCAGACCTTTGCTGCTTTCAGTTCAGATATGCCCTACTCACCTGGCAACATCCACCTGTGTGTCCTCAGACCAGAATGTCCAAAAGTGATTCATTTTTCTTCCCCTGCCCCCCAACCACCAAACCTTTTCTGCTGCCCCTGCTCTTTCATTTTGGATGCTAGTTCCCCTCCCCACCCAGACTCTAGCTTGCCTCCTCTCCCCCACCCTGCATCCAGTGTCCTCTGGTCTCAGCTGTCTCACTTCCTGAACTACTCTCCCCTGCCTGGAGGCCCCCATCTCATCTAGACTTCGGTGGTTGCTTGCTTCCTCACTCATCTGAACTCCAGTTGCCCCCGGTGAACCCCTGCTCTGGAACCAGCCTGGCTCATCTTCTTAAAACAGCTGGACACGTCAGAATCCCAGGTCTGCGGACCACGGTCTGTCCTCCCTTTCTCTCCATACCTCAGCCCCTCTTCCCCATGTGACTGCTCCACACTGGTTCCTGGTGTTCAGTACACTGATTCTCACCTCTGCCTTCATGTCTCCCGTTCTCTGAAAAGATCCCCACCTTTCTCCGACTCCCAGCACTCAGTTCAGCATCACTTGCTTGAAAATGCCTTCTGTCTCACCTCACCCTGCCCCGCAAGGATCCCGGGATACCCTATGTGTCTCTGTTGTGGCACTTAGCTGCCCTGCTTCTTAATTATCAGTCAATGTGTCACTGTCTCCCCAAAACACTGTAAACTTCCATCTGTTTTCCTAGCTGGAAGTGGGCGCGCATCCAGACACGCGAGGGCCGGCCTGTGTACAGAGCAGAAGAAGAACCAGATGCAGCGCCTACGGGCTGAGGCGACCAGACAGAGCCTGGTGTTCAAACCCCTTTGGTGAACAGGCTTGGGGCCTGAAACATCGGAGTGGTCCCAGGGCAGGATGCCCAGGGGGCGTGCAGCGTCCGGGGTGTGGTCTGAGTTACTTGTCCCGTGCTCCTCACAGCGCAGGGAGTGTAGCAGGCCTTCAGGAAAGTGACAGTAAAGTGCACGTCTAGACGGGGGTGGGACAGAATGGACGTGGTCTCTGCCACAGCTGTGCCTGTCGGAATAGAAACACACTTTCGGAAATAACTTGGCCTGACGGTGGAACCTCACTGATCCGGTCAATTGTGTCT